GGGTTTGGGGTTTAGGGCCTAAGGAGCCCAATACCCCTTAATTAAGAAATATTCCTGAAAGTATACCGGGCTCAATGAATATTCCTGAAACCATACTAGGGATCCTAGTATGACTTATAAGGTATATATATATATTCCATATTTAGCGTATGGGGCTTCTGGGGACCTAGCTGACTTTTTGGGGCAAGGGGCCGCAAGTAGACGGAGCCTGCAAAATCCCCGGGCTCGGATGCCCTGGGAGGTTTGGTCCTGCTTAAGGGGCCAAGCCCTTCTTAAATTTCATAAGGTGCTGGGTTACTGAATTGGAGCTCACACCAGCTGTTTGAATCACATGGCCAAAACTTCTACCCTTGGAAACTTGCCTGCTTGTCCGGCCCGTAGCTTGATTTGTCCTTTGGACCAGGCCAGGTGGGTATCCAGCAACAGTCGAAGCACGACAGCACGACGAAGGGCATCCAGGAAGGTCTATGCAGAGTCTACTCCTTTCTTGGCTCCGAATTGATATGGGTTTTCTAGGAGCCCAGTGTGGAAGGGAAGTCCTCGCGGTGCGCCTTTTGATGCCCTTTTCGTCCGGCACAGGTGCCTCTTCGAAAATCAGGTAGAAAGTCGAATGCTTGAAGATTTCTCATGCATGAGTCCTAACCCATCCCCGGTTCCTTTTCTATTATGTCTACCTCTATATCTAATGCATTCCGAATATTACCCGAGAAGGAGCCACAGACCCTTACATTCCCTAAAGCGGCAGACCAGCAAGCTTCATCAGCAGACTGGTGTTGAGGGTCTACGACCCTATGTGCAGTACGTAGGGGCTTCCTGTAAACCCCACTCCTGCACTCTAAGCCTTGAATCCTAAATTGTTCGGAAGGCTTCAGGAAGGTTTGACAAAAGATTGGCTCAAACACGTGACCCTGACCCAAGCCATGTAGTCGGCCCTGTAGACCGTCAGCTTCAGGACTCTATCCCTGGGGCTCCATGTTTATAAATACTACCTACATTGGGTTTAGGGTTTAGGGTTAATGCTTATAAATAATAATACCTACATTGGGCCCCAGTGTCTATAAATAGTACCTACATTGGGCTATTTAGAGCCCCAAGGGTATCGGTTCAGGGTACTTCCTTTACGAAGCCCTAGCTAAGAGCTGAAGGTTTTTTGGGTCTATCTAAGGTTAACTCCAAAAAAAGTTCGGCCTTCAAATGTAAGCCCCCTATACCCTATCCCCTAAACTTTCCTAAGCGCCTAAACTCCCGCCCGCACCCCCACAACCCGCTCCCTCGAGGCCTGGCATTCTAACCCTGCAGTGCAGAAGCTGAAGCCTGGCGGCAAAAGTCTAGCATGGGTTAAGGTTTGATTTGTGGGTGGGGGCTGCCGAGGCTGAAGGTGTGAAAGGCCTCGGACTTTGCGAGTTTGGATTCCGCATCTACTTTATATATCCTAGAACTGAGTGATTTGGTAGTGCTTCGCCTCTTCCTGACAAGCATGGAACCTCATCTAGGCCCTGTTGTAAATGGACCGAAATCTTTGTTGCGGCCACATTTGGGGTTCCATGTTGGTTTGGGGGAGGTACGACGATGAACACACTCGGATCTTCGACAAAACATGCCTTAGACCCTTTACTTGAAGTGGTATTATGACCTAGAATGTGCAAGTGCAGTACGTGGTAAGCAGTAAGCGCCTTTTCAAGTGATCTTTGGGGGGCTAGCCATGCTGCGCTGCAAGTTCTGAAGTTCATGAATGTGAGCGCTTGGCATCACCCATGTCCTGCTCTGCTCAGTTATTTGAAGCGCATGCGCGCTCATTGTCGACAGGAAGGATCCAGTATCCTAAACCCTTAACCCGTAACCAACACAGCACGAGAGATCTGTAAGTAGTAGCTCGAGCCTGAACGCCTCCAGCCAGATGGCAACGCAAGGCAGCTGAAAACTGTCTTATAACCTATAAACCCCAAACCGCAAGACCCAGACCTTCATAATTCCAAACCTGCAACTCCCCCCATCATCCGATTTGCCTAAACTCGATTAGCGTAAGCTCAAACAATTGGGATCCAAGTACACAAAAAATGCCTACATTGGGCCGTCAAGCCTGTAAATATTTCCCATAAATGTAGCTATCTGGATCCCTAGGGAAAACCTTGGGTATCAGTACCTGAACCCCAAAGGTATGTAAAATAACCGCCCTAACTAAACCCATAACAACAGCCATAAAGGCAATTATTTTACATACTTTCAAGGTTCAGGTAGCCTCAACAGAGTAAACCCTAAACCCTAAACCCCCTTCCGTCTGCCAAGGCTCGAAGAGCTGATGAAGGCCTCAGCGTTGTCTTACCGGGCGGAAGGTCTCCCGAAGGGTCCAAGATAATTTGGGCCCAAATGGGTTCCCATATAGGTACCTTGGTCCCTATTACTACATGCTTTCAGGCACTTGGAATCTTAGGGTCTACGTTCAAGGTCCAACGTACGGTCTTTTGGGCTGTGCAGGGGCCCTCTCAGTTGGGAAATTTCCACTTATGACTTCGTGTTTGGTATATCCACTTGGCTGCTTGTGGTCTCCGCATATTTGGGTGCCTGGGGCTGCCGGTATGTGCAGACGCACGCATGCAAGTTCTGCAGGCAACTGTACAAGCGCCATCAGGCCTTGCATTAGGCATTGTGTACCGTAGGAGGCTACGAAACTTTGGATCTCTCGTCTAGAAAAAGCAAGTTGCACTGAATGTAAGGACTTGGTGAAGGACCCACAAATTGAAGAACGTTGACATTGGCTTACTTAAGTTACTTCAATTTGTGGAGTACTCGCGGCCATTATTTTGTCATTATTTGGGGGCAAATGTACTCAGGGAGCCTCATATCCTTTAACCCCCAGTTAATAATGCAAATGCTACAATCACATCTGTGATTCTGGCATTATCCAGGGTGCGTATATCATGCCTCTACTTGAACCCTGAAGTGTATGTTGTTACGCGGGGAAAGATCGTAGGTTGAGCTTCTGCGGTGGTTGCTTACCCTCCTTGGTCTGGAATAGTTGACTGAGCAAGAAGGGAGTCTTTTCCTGATTGTTCCCTGACAGCGAGTCATGTACACGACACCGGGGGTATGAATGCTCGCGGTCATCACGGTCATCTAGCAGGGACAGCTTCGGACAAATATGCCTATGAAAGCAGTTCCTGCCGCAACGCAGTTCAATGAAAACCGTTTGTGATTGATGGTCCAAACCCTAAACCCTAAAGTAGGCAAAATAACGGCCAGAAAGCTTTAAAAATAGGCCCAGAGGCCAGCATTCTACATACCCTGACGTGAACCCTGGGGCTCCATGTCTATAAATAATACCTACATTGGGCCCCAGTGTCTATAGATAGTACCGGGCTATTTGGAGCCCCAAGGGAAGTGCGTAAAGTCGCAAGTGCTTTTGCCGCAGGATCTGGCCCAAGTCCGAGCCTCGCCCTAGCTAAAAACAGTTCTCAATTTAGAGTTTCAGCCCTACCGGAGGCCTGAAAGTATGTAAAATAATGGCCTTTATGGCTGCCATTATGGGTTTAAGGATATGATTTTGCATACGTTTGTGGTTGAGGTAAACCCTAAAAGCCCATGCAAAACCAGCCCGAGGAGGACCACTAGACAGCCTTTGGATAGGCGTTGGCTGGGAAGAATGCCCATCCAGACACTGTCACAGGAGGCCGTGACGGCTAGACAGGTGTTCCGCTTCCTGCACCGTGCCGGAGGAAGTGCAGATGCGCACTACGTTACCGGCAAGTACCTGGGTGAACATGCGGATGGGTCGACAACTTGGTGATTTTGGGTCGCCATTAGATATAGGGTACCCAAAAACAGACCATATCTTTGACAACATGCCCTATATTCATGTCGTGTGTGTGTGTGTGTATGCGTGTGTGTGTGTGTGCGGGTGTGTGTGTGTGTGTGTGTTTTTTCTTGTTGTCCAGGAACGTTTTGCTTGCTGCCTGATGCGCATTTGCCCTGAAGTACGTAATTGTCCCGTTTTCCCAAGGCAGGACACCAATAGTTAAAGAAATGTATGTGTGGTAAGGGGAGCATGATTGGTATGTTTTCCTGCGTACCAACTTTTTCATGTTCTGTCTCCATGGCTATATCCTCATTCCCTTTCTCGCTGACAGTATGTTGTTGAGACTAACAGAAATACGAGGTTGAGCATTTTCAGAAGCCCACGACATGACAGCACAGGTACGGATGCAAAAAGCAATTTCTCCTGGAGTTTGAGGGCGGGAATGTCTTCGAGGCCAGCCACGCAAAAGATCTTGTCGGATGGATTAAAACATAGTGTTCAACATGGTTCTCAGGCTTATTAGAAGTCCAAACAGGTGCTTCCTTCTTTCCGCTTTTGGGCAGCAAGCCAGGAAGTGAGACATCTGGATTGGTGAAGCATGTATCGCACAGACGTGCACCACACGCAACACGTAAATCAGAGATGGCAGCAGCTCACCATGTGTTGTGTTAGATCTGCGAAGCCAAAATCCACACACATGGGCTGTGTAGGCAAGCTCCTGGCGCCCTGCACAACTGCTGCGATATGGCCAGCAGCTATACTTAGTTGCATGATAAGCCCTGTCCATCCTTTGGTTGCTGCTGCCGCCGCAGTGGCCGCTGCTACAGCTGCATAGTTGCAACTCCTACTGCTGCCAGCAGCGCTACCGCTACCGTGCCGACCGCGCCAGCGTGCCACAGCACCAACACCGCCACCTGCCACTGCCACGTGCTATGCAACATGCTATGAAAGTTGGTCTAGCCCACCCTACTTGCGCCTTGGGCACAGGCAGATGGCGATAAGCTGAAGCTGAAGGGCGGAGCCTTTGCCGTGGCCGCGGCTGCAGCAACGGCTGGGCGCGTGAGCCGAAAGGTCGGCAGAAGGACTCCCTGGATAGGGCTTATTGGACCTTTCAGAATTTCACATGCCCAGCATATTGGCATGTGGGACCGCGTATATCAACTATAGGCAAACAGCATTGACAGTTGCAGGGTCTAAGAGCCCTTTCTGAGGGAAACGATACAGCGTGGGCATCCAAATAGCCGCATCTATAGACTTAGATCCCCAGTGACAGGCGATTTCAGGGTCTGTGCGATCCGGGACAGGAGGATGAGCGCTCGGGTATGCGAGGGTTCAGGGATGCGAGGCTTGGGGTGGTTTGACCAAGTGCATTGTTGAGTTGGAAGTTTCGGTAAAGGCATGTAAAGGCAGGCCCAAGCAACCCTTTCGCTATCCGTGAAAGCCATGGAGCTCCCGATACATGCCATCAAACCCCCGCAGACCAAACGCCTGCAGACCATTGCACTGTCAGATCTTTCAGTTCCAACGGCATGAAACTTTGCTAATTTCCCTTAACCTCTGCAATAGTTTTGCAAATATCAAACATGGGCCCTGTACTTGTCGCTCACCTCGCTTGGCTAGTGGTCCTCCTCTGTGAGGAATGTGAGCTCTATGGTGTGAGGTTCGCCTTCGGTAAGCCTCTGTGCCTGTGCTACATCGAAAGGTGTAGACGGCCTCGTGTGGTTTCGAGAGGTTCACCTTCACCCTAACCTACACCGGTTTGGGGAGGAGCTCGCCGAACCATTTGCTCACGAAAGCTGGATTCGCCACCAGGGACGAGCCTGCTAGGCGCCTACAGAAGCGTAACTTGGCTGAGGTGTTGAGGTTAAGGGTTCAGGATGTGGGGAGCTCCGGATGTGTGCTCTGAGGGCTCGGGATGGGTGCTTTCAGACAAGTCCTTAAGAGCCAAGACGGCATGACAGGGGGCAGTTTTGTGTTGAAGAAGACGTTGAGAATTAATCAGACATTGTTGAATTGCAAGGCTCTGGGTTTATGGGTCGTCTGCTGATTTTTTAACATTCAAGCCGAGCTCTTGATAAACGAGGGCACCCCCGTTCTACAAAAAGAATGAATAGCATACCAAACTTGTAGAAGGAGACATCGTGCGTGATCTTGAATGGACAACTCGGTGATCACATGTTCGATGCTTCAGATGCCAGGGTTTCAATGTATACCCAAACATTTTTCAGGGCTGCCTTGGTTTTCCCATGATACCTGGGGAAAATTGCATGCTTTAACCACAAAGCCGGCTCTGCCTTTAAAGTATTCTTGACCCCTTAATCTGGCCCAAACATGTTCTCTTGAAATGAAAGGCCTGTTCAAAGGCAGGAGCTCAAATTATGGCTGAGGATTGCTCAGCCTTCATTCCGTGTGTTAGGGTTTAGGGTTTAAGGAACCCCCCTTCCCCCAAATAAAACAGATTGCTTTTTTGACATACTTCAGTGTTTCAGATAGTAATAGCTGTACTGACAATAATACTGATAGTTGTCGCCCTAGGGGCCTCTGAAGAAACACTTCAAACTTGAAGTGCAGATATTAGGTGGGGGGTTCCAGGGGGCCTATAATGCTTATATTGGGATCCCTACCTATAAGAAACCACCATCGGCTGTCGCATGCAGATGTTAATGCAGAACCCTAGACGCGGGCTTGGGCATCGCTGCTTACAGGGCGCCGCGCAGAAAACGAAGATGTTCTGAAAGAATCTTGATGACCGACTGCCATCTCCCAAACAGGAGTTGCTCAAAACGGCACCTACGCCATCGTTAGTAGTTCCCATAATCCCGTGCTAATCCTAGCTGGTTTTGTGCTTGTTCCTGAGCTCAGTCGAGTCAGATACCCGCCCAAGCGTGTACCACGACTTGGTTTTTGGACAGCCCTTTCCTGTACAAACCCCTTCCAGGGCTGCGCAATCCTCTCTGCAGAGTTTGGGCCTTTAAGTCTAAGTAGCAGTTTACACATGCTTCTGTCATTTCGTGCCCATGCAGACCACGCAGTATAAAGGTTGAAATATTTGAGGAGCCATTAGAAATTAAAGCTGGCAATGATGAAGAACGACAAGCTGATTGCATAGTCGGGGTGTTTCCCTTCCAAGAAGGTTGTTCTCCCTGTTTTCCCGCTCCCGATTCCCCCCGGGTACAAGCTTATACAAGTAGCTGGGCTTCATAAGACACTAAGACCTTCGAACCTGAGATCTAATCTCTTGCGAGTGCCGGAGGTATCGAGGGCCTCCTCATGTGTGCAGGAGACGGAGTACTTCCATTCAAGGCTGAACATTCATAGGGTCAGGTCTAAATTTTACGGTTTTCAGTCTAGGGGCTCACCCGGCCTCTTTTCCTTCTAGTACGCCTCATGTTAGGGGTCGGCTAAGTATTGTTGATGGGTGGAGTCCTGCATGAGCGATAACCAAGAGATGCGTGAATTGGGGCTGCAGGAAGCATGAAATGTAAAGTGGAACTATAGGCTAAACCCCCATAGCCCTAGTCGCTTCTATTTCTCGTCGATTCCTTTATATATCCCTATATTATACTATTTCCCAGTCATTTTCCACTTTCCTTCTATCTGATTCTCTATCATCGTGAATAGTTGAGATTTGGTGCTGCCTCGGGCCAGCTGGCCCTCTCTGTCCAAGCCCGGGATTCCCAACATTTTTTTTTGTACTTCCAACCTCATATGAGCCAAAGTCTAAACAGTAGTTTCCCAGAATAAGGGGACCCCAATATAGACCCCAATATACGATAGTCCTTATTATTGGGACCCCTAAAAGGGTACCCCTATTTTGGGAAACCCCCAAACTCCTTCAAGGGGGGTTAATATAGGGGTTCTGTAGGGGGATGTAAGGAGTTTAGACTATGGCTCATATGCCTCCCATAGGTGCTCTTCTGCCGTAGCCTTTTTTTACATGGCCTTCAGGGGGAGCCTTTTAAGAAGCCTGTTCAGTAGAGAGTTCTAGGAGGCCCTTACCTGATTTCCTGAGCTAGGGTTTAGGGTTTAGTGTTTAGCGTTTAGGGTTTAGCCCCGTTTAGTCTTCGATTGCTGATGGTTTCGGCCAGTGAGCTTCTAGCTGAAGAGTTGTTTTAGTTTACGCCTCGTTCTGTCACGCCTTTGCTGAAAAACATTTGCCAGCAATGACACTGCATGACAGTCTGACTTCACTCTCCTTAACCTAAACCTTCCAGCGTATAGCTAATTATGATTTACAGGTCAGAACCAGCTTGACCATCTCAACACAATATAGTTCCCCAGCGCCACCCGAACTGTCCAAGCTGGTTCAGGTCCCCACTGAGACTTGCATAAGCAAAACGGTATAAACTCTGCACAGAGAGGGTTTCCCTGCGATTCTCCCATAAGCTCTATGCACCTCTAGCGTCCCCAGCGCTCCCTCTTTTGAGAAGCCCCCACTTCCCCACTTTAACCCTTAAAGGTCAACAAGTGCTCCCTCCACCCTGACAAGGGGCTCCACGGACACTACTCCTTGAGGCACCCAACCCTAGATCCTGAACTTTAACTTTTCTCTTCCAGGCTGTGCTCCGGGCTTTAGCCCTCAGGCGCAGGGGCTCCTCATGGGAGTTTGCATGCGGGCTTGTTGTTGGGGATTCTGAAGCTGAGAGGGTTGAGGGCCAAAGCTGCTTTCAAAGGCTTTATTAGGCTCAAGGCTTCAAGACTCAAACAGTTTGACGAAGACCCTGGTGGGCCATGTGATGATTGGGCTCCTTTCATCCTGATATGGTTGAAGAGTTCTGGCATGCCAGACCACGGTTGGTTGGACGCAGTTTGATATATCCGAGCGCCCTATCTCTGAACCATGTACCGCCCGACATATATGTCCTTTTGTACAGGGGATCCCACCGGAACCAGGTTTTCTTTGTATAGGGTTGGGGGACGTGGGTATCATGGTGGCGCTTCCGAATCTTTAAATCTTTTTAGCAGGATTTCCATGTACTTGGGACCCTACATGTCAGTTTTTTCGGGTGCGGAGCTGCCGTAGACTTTCTGAAAAGGCCAACGCATGGGCTGAACCGCTGGCTACCGCGCGCGGGGCTGCGCATGGCACCCAACGGGGACCCAACGGTCTCATCATAGTTGGGAGTTTAGGAAATTCGCCTGATATTCCTGGGATACGGCCTTAAGAAGAGAGTACATCGGGCTAACAGTTTATTGGGTACGAGATCTTCTGCAAAGCGGGCTCGGGGTCGGTTCCAGATATTCCTCACTTTTGGCGGGACGGAGGGCTCTGTTAGCAGTTGAGGCTTTTTAAGGTTGGGTACCTCCTGCGCATCAGATGTTAGCAAGAAGGACTGTGAACAAGTAACACGCTAGATCCGAGGCTTTGTGACATCCTGTTAAGTGCACACTTCAAAGCAAGGAAGCTCGACTTCGTGCTTCTCACAAGATTACCTACTTGCCGCTGAAACACAAGCATACTCTTTTTCAGGGCTCCAAGATCGTAGAACGCCCCCACCTGAAGCAGCGCCAAAGAAATTTCGTTTCCCACCACAGTCCTGCCATATTGCCTAAATGGACCTGTAAGTCCACAGGGCTGGTTCTGTGGGGCTGGTCCTGCTTCGAGAATGCGTGGCGTAGGAGAGCGGACCAACTTTCTTCAGCAGTCGGTCCAGGCTTATTTGCGCAAAATCAAATGACCTGACCCAAATGGTGTTTTTGATTCCTCCACACATGGCCTTACATCAAGATCTTGTGGTTTGTCCAAGCTAGTTTGACAGGTTCAGGCGGTCGAGTCTTGAGTAACTGGGTTTCAGTACAGAGGTTTAGGGCCGTGGCCCTTTACACAAGCCAAAAGTCCTCAGATCACGTTCCTTCCCGCTTGGCCTCATGCCTGTGTTTATGTTTCGGGAACATCTAATCTGCTAGGAGTATACCCTAAACCCTAAGCCCTAACCTAAACCCCAAGTTAAGCCCTAAACCCTAGATGGGTTACATGGGCAGCAGAGCAGTCCGTAGGAAGGGTTCAAATGAAGTACGATTTGGCTTGTCAAAGAAGTACGCCCTACACACCCAAACGCTGTACCAAAGCCCTAGCACCTTGAGAAGCCTTAAGCCAACATCGCCAGCCTGGAGAGGACCTGTGGGTAGACAGCTACCGCCTCTTCCACTTCAGACTCTATCGCGCGCTGCGGGCGTCTGCCTTCATCATGGACGCGGGGTAGGTTTTCAGCTTAGGTTTGCGGAGTTGTTCAAAATGAGCTTCATCCTATAATCTGCATGGTCTTGGGTGCTTTCAACGATTGCTTGGACGCTCTGGCCACTTAGCTCTGGCATATTATAGTGGTAGATTATGGTATATTGGGTGCTCCCATTTTCTTTTCCATCATCCCTATATAGCCCAATATTATCCCAAGATTATCCCAATATACTGCAGGAAATTCAAGGAGCTTGCAGGAGCCCCAGCAGACATCACAGAAGCCTGAGCCCGAGACTTGGTGTTGGGGGGTTCAGGGTAGAGGGAGGTGGGAGCAAGACTTCTTCACCTTGCTTTCTGTATCTGATCCCTTTGCCACCCTGGATTTGGGTTTTAGGCGCTAGCTCGCTGTAGGAGCTGCCTCCTTCCAAAAACGGTCTTATTATTCTGGTAATATTTTTGGGTGTGAGTCCCGAAAGCCCCAAAGTGCGCAGGAGACTGGTGGGAAGGCGCCACTTCGAGATCTCATGGAGCCCCTTTGACTGCAAATTTGTAGCTGCTTGATGGCTTGGCGAAGCTTTGGGGTTTTAGGGAGGGTAAAAGGTCTGCAGAGGTTCTACGCGTCATGGGGATTATGCAGGGCAATAAGCGGGTGCAACAAATCTGTTAAGTATGCTGGTTTCGAACGCCCCTTATTGAAACGTGATTGTTGCAAACTGACTTGCTCCTGATCGGCGATCCGCGCGACGCACGGACCTTTAGTTTGGTTTCTGAGTCGTATTGCTCGATAATGCTCTTCGCGCTTCAAAGCAATGGCCCGCCATGCGGGCATTCGCGTGTGCATCGTTCAGTTTGCGAGGTGGTGCATAGAATTTTTCGCACCGAAGGACCACCCACCGACAGCGGCAAGCCCGAAATGACGTTGCAAGATTAAGGCCTCCGTGTGTTCCAATTCTGCAACGCATGTGCAAGCCCTGGGGCCAGGACTACAGGACCGAAATGGACCCAAGCAGGACAATTGCAGTAGATTTGCCTCCGGTATTTTGATTTCCAACTGGGCCCCGTTTGGACTTTTGGGTCCTCTGTGGTAAGCCGATGATCCCAGACCCTGCTTAAAGAACGAACATGAAAACTAAAATGAGAACCCAATAGCCAGTGCCTGCCCCAGATCCTGGACCCAAGAGCCTCCTGAGCACATCAAAGCCGTAGGCTGCTAAACTCACCCTACCAAATCTTGATATGCGGCTTACGAGGGTTCTATGAGCTTCAGAAATCCAAGTCTTAAGCCCTATCGTAAAACCTCAATCCCAAACGTGCGCAGCGCTGGAGAGGTTCCTTTATCGCCCGCTGGAGCTTCAGGACATTGAAGAGGCTCGCCATACGGTATGAGCTTTATAGCTGGGCAATTGACCTCACCCAACCTCACCCTAAATGGTGGTTTATATAGGGAGTAGTGCCAAAATAGCTTCAAATTGGGAACTGGAATTATTCTAAATTACCAAGATATAGTCTAGACTCCTAGTTTCCCCCTGGGCAACCCCTGTCGTAGTCCCGTATATAATCCCCTACATAACTCCCTGTAAAGAGTTTAGACTTTTTAGGTCTGCGTGTATTGTGGTGTGTCAGGGTTGAGGATCATATCCTGGGGCGGCTCCCTTTGGCATACTGCCAGTTCAACAGTTGGGGGTTTTCCAAAATCATGGGTACCTTTTGAAAGTCCCTATAGTAATGGCTATAGAATTTCAGGCATTATATTGAGGTCCTCTCTTCAACCTGGCAACGTGGTATCAAGCCATAAGCTCCGGGCGCGACCCCAAGAAGAATGTACCCCATCAATGGCGGTTTTCAGTTTAGGGTTTCAGGCCCCCCTATTTCAAAAGGACAACAGAGCTCCTTTTAGGTTCCATGCTAGTTTGGGCAAAGGTAAGCGCTGCAAACTCAATCTTTTGCCGGCCCCAGGTGCTAGAGCCTAAACACGCTCGACCAGGTATGCGTGCAACAAGTTCTTCCCACGCCGTACTTCCCCCTTAATAGCCCCTATAGTAGTCCCCTATACAATCCCCCATATAAGCCCCTGCAAGGAGTTTGGCTTATGGTTCATATAGAACCCCTATCTCCACCCCAAAATCCTTAAGCCTAAGAGGATGTTAAGCTTTAGTGCTTTCGGGCTTGGGCCTTGTAAAGGCTTCGTGCTTCCGAGCTGTATTTGTCAGAATAGCCCATATATACCCACATTACCAACTGCTTGGTGTAGAAGACGGTTATCATGAATATTTTCGAGGGCTTCGGGTTTGGAAAATCAGGCTTTTCCATCAACTCCTTAAACCCTAAACCCTGAACTCAAGTTATTTGTCAGTTTGCTCATATTATAGAGGGGTCTACTACAGCCCTAAACCCTACTCTCCCTAATCCTTATACACCCTCACGTACTCCTATCCCTTTTATACACATACAGCCCCATATGCCCCTACACGTCCCTACCCTGAACCCTATAAACCCTAACCTAAAACCCTAAGCCTCAAGCCCTAAA